AACAGGAGAGAGCCTTAAATACCAAGAGGAGTGAAGAGAGAGGGGAATTTTGGATGCTTTCAGGGTAAAGGAACAATCAGCATCCCCAGGACCTGCAATACTGAATGGAAACTGGGCAAAATCGAGCTTTATGGTTTTTTCAGCATACCATGCTATTCCCATATGGAATCCCTGCGAGATTCTAGTGGAGACAGTATGTATTGGGACCGTGTGAGAAGGCAGCAGAGATGCACAAAGCACAGGGATCCTTCTTCTGTGTCACCTCTGCATGTGGGGAGCAAGCTGGTTTGATTTTTGTGGTGGGACACATAGACAGGTGCTTGAAGATGTTTAAATCATACATCCTTTTCTACCACAAGGTTGAAGTGCTGCTGCCATCCCTGTTGCATAGAATAACCACATGGGAAACCCCAGGAGGAGCATCTTGCCCATCTCCCATCCCATCATCCAGCCAGAACAAATCTAATTAAATCCAGCATCTTCCTGGACCAAAGATGGTGCAGGTTTTAGCTTACAAAGTCCTCCATGTGCTCAGGTTTCTTGCCTATCTCACCTTCAATAACCTCACCTAGACACAGCCAGATTTCTCTCTCCAAGCCTTTCTTTCCTGGAAAACCACCTAACAATGCACTTTGACTCATCCTCAGTCCCTGGAGAGGATCCTCCTTCGTGCCCATGTGGTGGGGAGTAGAGAGAGCACAGCCTGAACTTTTGGGAGGGAGCCCAAGCTTTAGATCTGCCAACCTTTCAGCCAAAGTCAAGTGAAGGGCCTAAACTCCAGCTATTCCCTGCCTTAACCACCTTTGCACTCAATCTTTGGCCTAAAATTTTCAGATGGTCTATTTAAAACTATTTCTTTGGTGAACTGGAACATCCAGTAGGTATGTGAGGTCTGGGGGAGGAGGAGGTGTGTTTCTTTTCTTATATTTTTAAACTCATACTCTTGGTATCCCAATGGTGAATAAAAGAAAGAAAATAACTTGTCACTGTTTCCTGGAGATGCTTGGGATGAAGCAGGAGGAAGATGGGAGAAGGAGAATCCACGCTGTAAACCATCTCGCACTGATATTTCAAGATGAGGGTGAGTGATGGAGTAGGTCTGGGTGAGATAAGTTTTACCTTAAAGTGGTTTCTAGGCAAAAATCGAAGTAGGAGCCAAATTTACCTTATATACCTCAATATACCTTGTTATCTGTAGCTGCCCTGAGGTTCAAAGGCATCTTCCTTCTCCATTCCCTGCTTAGGGTGTGCTCTCCTTCCGATCACCTATATCCGTCCCATTTCCATCAAATTCAGACAAACTACAGGAGTGAGGAGCAGCCCCGAGCACCTGGAAAGCCACATGGAGTGACACCAAGGTGCCACCTTGGACCAGCTCCTTCCTGAAGGTGTAAAGGGCTGTGGGGTGCAAACAACTGCTGGTTGGTCCTCAAAGAAAAAAAAAATCACATCACATCCTTGAGCTAGAGAAAAAATAAAATAAAAATGTGCCTCCCTTCTGGTCTGGAGTGCTCCGAGACATTCCTGTACCCCCTGGAGCTGCCTGGAAAGGGTGAGCAATATTCCTGCACGTACTCCTCAGCTTTTCTACTCACTGTGGGCAGGAAAATGAAGCACCAGATGGTTTGGTTTGGAAACAAAGCAACCTACCTTGGGGTAGGTGATTCCCAGCTGCTCAGAGAAAGACAGTGAGGACTGGGGAGGCTGTGATGGAGCAGCTGATCCATCCCTACACTTCCACCCCAAGGACGTTGGCACAGCGTCAGTGTCATGGGACACAGTGAGTCCTGTGCCTGATAGGATGGAATGGGTCTCAGCTCAGGCACAGCCAAAACACTTGCATTTTCTGCCTGTCTTTCCCCATCAGGAGGCAATCAGATGTTCTCCAGGCTGGAGATGAAGTCCTGCCAGTTCACTTTGACTCATCCTCTGCTGCTGGAGATGTCCCAGATGGAGGGGCTGGAGCTCCAGGGCAGCAATGACTAACTCGGCTGAGGTACCTGGTGGCACCTCTGGGACCATGTGCCATCCTGTATGCTGCTGTTGTCTCTGGATAAACTCATGCTGTTGAACAGGGCAATGCCATGGGAAGAAGTTCCCTCCTGGCACCTCAGGACGCTCAAGGTTATGTCCCTCTCCCCTTTCCCCTCTGCTCCCTGTGCTGCCCATTTTCTCTCTGTGATCTTATCCACATCCCTGACCATGTTGCAGTTTGGCCAGCAGACAAAATCCCTGATTCCCTCAACCCAGTGCAGTCAGCTGGTTATTTGGGGTCACAAGTTCAGCTGCAAGGCACGCGACCAAGCAAACCACAGCACAGGGACGCGTTGGCATCAAAACGAGCCAGGCTGTGGGCTCTGCCTCTTAGGCAACAGCCTTGGCTTTTATTTCATACATGCACACATTCCTAAGCTGTGCCTGCAGCCTTTGCTGGGGCTTGAAATCACATCAAAGCCAGCCTATCCATGAAAGGCCTTACTTTTATCATTAAACCAACCTGTGGGGGTTATTGGTGCCGATAAATCTGTTCCTCAGCCATAGATGGTTGCTGAGGACTCTTCATTGCTCTTCTTTTAACTGTTCTGCTTCCAGAAATCCTACCCACGGTGACATCTTTGTACCTCCCAAGAGCATCAGCTGCCCCAGCATCCTCCAGACACTGTTCTGGTGATCACTCTGGTGGGCGTAGGGAAATTCCCATGTACTCCATTGGGTGTCTCAGAGGAGAGGATATTGCAGGTGTTAACACTTCTGGAGTGCTCCCTTTGGTGACCCTGGGGATGAAAAGAGGCTGAGCTCTTCCTCAGAAATGGAAATAACCTTTGCCCCTCAGCTGGAGCCACTGAATGGCACTAGGGTGGAGTAGCAAGGGATGCAATGAAAGCTGGTTCCCTGGGAAGAAGAGTTCTGGGATCCCCCTGATCTGTAGACAGGGACCATTTAGCTGGGCTGGCAAGTCTGGAGGTGCATGGAGGGACACAGCCCAGCCCTCATTGCTAAATCACCCAGGCTGTGAAAAACATATGTTAATATCTTCCCAAATAAGTCTGGGAACTAAGCCCTCTGCGTCCAAACAGCAGGTCCCCCACTACACTGAACCGTCCCAAATACCAGCACAGAGCAGAGGATGGGGGGCTGGACTAACTGACCTTTAAAGGTCGTTTTCCAACCCAAACTATTCCATGATTCAATGATTCTCTGACATTTCATCTTC